CCCTATAATGAGAAGAACATCTTTCTTTGGTGTCAGTTCTAGAAGGTGTTGTAAGTCTTCATAAAATGGTCAGTTTCAGTCTCCTCAGCATTGGTGATTGGTGCATAAACTTGGATTATTTTGATGTTGAAAGGTCTGCCTTGGATTCGTATTGAAATCATTCTATCATTTTTGAGATTGTATCCCAGTACAACTTTTCCCACTCTTTTGTTGACTATGAGGGCTGCTCCATTACTTCTATGGGATTCTTGGCCACAGTGGTAGATATGATAATCATCTGAATTGAATTTGCCCATTCCCGTCCATTTTAGTTCACTGACGCCCAGGATGCCAATGTTTATTTTTGCTATCTCCTGTTTTACCACGTCCAGCTTACTGAGGTTCATTGATCTTACATTCCAGGTTCCTATGCAGTATTTTTCTTTGCAGCATCGGACTTTCCTTTCACTTCCAGGCGCGTCTGCAGCTGAGTGTCCTTTCAGCTTTGGCCCATCCAGTTCATTAGATCTGGAGCTACTTGTACTTGTCCTCTGCTCTTTCTCAGTAGCATGTTGGACGCCTTCCGACCTGAGGGGCTCATCTTTCAGCATCATGTCTGAATAACTTCCTGCAAAACAGCTGTTATATAAATATAATATTGATATTTCCTCACTGAGATTAAGGCACTTTTAAAGCTAATTGTAGGTTTCATTTGTGTTGCAATGATGGAGCATTCAAATCAATATGTGGAATCAAGTTTATTAGTACAATTTTTGTTCATATCTTAGATATTAATTTCCTCTAATTAGCAGTATAATTCCCAAAACTGTATTATTTACTTGTTTGAGATGGGGGTGCATCAACTACTGTGCATACTGGCAGAAAGTATCTTGACACTTCCAGGCAGGTACATTTTATGAGCACAGATGTCAGATAAGGATTTCACATTATGCATATTCTACAATGTAATGGGAGCTCTTTAGATTTAATTTTATGAGCTAAGAATTATGCACTTAACTTTAACTGAGATGCTTGGACTTTATTACAATATTGCTTTATTATAATTTACCATGGACGGCCAAAATCCCCATGCATATTTATACTGGTAGAAAGAAAAATTGCATAATTTGTAGTGGCAAATTATAGCTAATGTATTAGTCTCCATTTGGGTTCCTTATTATGAACAAGTCAGGTGGCTTGTTGTGCAACCAGGAATTGAACTGGTCATTCATTAATGCAAATCTTATTGCTGATGAAAAATGAAATTGCTTCCTGAATCACCCTGGCATCCACCAAGAGGTGGTTCTTACATCATGTTATATTCTTCTAGCTAAAAATTGGTCTCGGTATTGTTTTCACTGAGGTGATAAACCTGAGCTGTTCCACTGCAGGGAGGGGGAATCAGATAATTCTACCTCTTCTGTCCCCCCCCTCCAAAAAACAAAGCAAAATAAAAACAAAACAACAAAAAAACCTTACACAGAAAATAAGATATTAGGAAGAAAATTTCTACTGTTCCCCTGACCTGCTAGATATCTGTGGATGGCGTAATTTTGCCTTGTTGTATTAACTTAATGCAAGTGGTAGATCCCAGATATTGGTTGGCTACCTTGAAAATACATAGATTTCTATTTTCCCCTCCAAATTAGTAGGTTCAGAGTTGAACTCAATAAATGTCAAATAATAAATCATCAGGCTGAACTATTCAGAAGCAAACATTGAATTCACTGTTGGTGAATTTAATGGTATCCATGTTGTTTAGAATGTCATATGCTGCAACCAGTATAGGGGAAACTATGAATATTTCACTTGTTTGTAAGCCTCTAATCTGTCACTCGTCATTGCAAGTCTATAAACAAGAATACTGCATAGCACTGAGAATTAACACTGAGATTTTTCTGCTTATGCCATTCTGCTGAAGTAATCAGCAGTGAGATAACCTAAACATTAAAAATAAGTGAAACCCTTTTGCAAGACATGTCCAAAGGAACTCATCATGATGTATGAAACAGCACTGCTCAGAGATTTCTATGCAGCAGTTACAAAGCAGTACAGATTATTATATATTCTTTACACATGAAGAAGTATACATCCAGAAAAATTTCCTTCTGCAAGACCACAAATGATGTAAAAAGTTGAAGTAAAGGAAATAGTGTGGGAAATGGGGTTCTCCTGAGTGCCATTTGACAATGTCTGTAAAAGAAACTTAAACAATTCCCAGCAGCCCTGAATGACTATTGAACTGCATGTGTCCCATAACTTATATAAGTTGTGCATAGTATGGATAAAGTAAGCTCAGAACTGCTGTACACACCAAAATAAGCTGCTGAGTGGTCTGAATACTGTTGCTCAAGTGATTTTGATTTTTTGAAAGGGCGAAGCATTGTTGCTGCAAGGTTATGAGCTAGCAAATATAAGTTTTTAGAGAACAGTTCGGTGGTAAGAGAATAATAGAAAATACGATGGGAGTTGTACAGTCTTTTTGTTATACAGCGTCTGTAAAAGACACTTCTGTATCTCTATTTTATTTATTTATTCTATATACTGAGTTTCTTGTATACAAAAACAGAAGTAGTTTCCAGTGTGAATTAGAAACAGATACAGAAAAGAATAATACTTTATAATGTTAAAACAATTAGATAAGTGTTGTTTTTCCATGCAATAAATAAAAGTCAAAACAGTATGAAAACTCAACAAGAAAAGAAAAGTAAGAGTATCCACTGTTAATAGACCGTTCCTTGTTAAAAGTGGCCATTTGTTTGTCTGAATTAAAAATTCTTTGCCTGTTGGCAGAAGGACAGCACAGAGGGGTCAACAGTCCCAAGAAGATCTTTCTTCCATTTTTCCCAGAGGTTGGCCTGATGGAACAGTAAGAAAGGCCTCTTCTGATTTGCTTTAGGATCCAAGCAGACTCATACAGGGAGGGGTGGTCCTGCAGAACAAAGTCACATACAGCTTTATTAGTTGTAATAAATGTTGAATTGTGCCAAGAAATGAACCGGTGCCCAGTGAGTCTGTCATAACAAGGAGTTTCTGTGCTCTCTGTAACCAGCTTCAGTCAGCAGTCTGACCCTATCATCTCAGACTTCCTGAATTTTAGAACTTTCCAAAGGCAGTCCTTTGTAGAACACATTGCAGTAATTGAAACGGGATGGAACCAAGGCATATACAGTATATCTCTACTCAGATAAAGCATTTCAAGTAATGGGCACAGTTGACATGCTAACTTGGATTTGATTAAAATCACGATTTAATTTTTTAAAAAACATATATATTGTTGACTTAACATTTAAACATTGATTTTTAAAATTTTAAGTTGTGATTCAAATTGATTTTTTTTAAAAGCATTACTTTTATCCACCCTGTAATAAATAATAGTGGAGGGGAGGAACAGGCCCTAGTGTATAGCTTAGAAGCTGTAAGCAGAGACATTGAATTAAAAAAAATTAGGTTGATATATTTTCTATCTTGCCACCTGTTGTATGAAGGGAAATGGGTCCCTTTTTCTGTGAAGTGTTTTTAAGGTGGAGAAAATAGCTGTTTTGTGTAGGTAGGGCTCAATTTTGGTCACATTCTATGCTTGCAGATCTGCCAACAGGTTTTCATTAGCACTGTAACTAGGTTATATTAAATGCTAGGTATGTTGTGAGTTCTTTGTGAGATGATGGCTTGGTATCTAGTCTTATCAGTTTACTGATAAGACTCGATATCTATAAAAATAAGAAATGGACCAATAAAAGAATGCAACAGTGTGAAGTAGTGTTGCTTTTGTGTTGGCAGAGGGGATTTTATATAGATGTATTTTGTGTATTAGAAGTTCTCAGCTGAGAATAACTTTTCTTTTCTTTTTTTATAGATAAGTGTGTGCCTTTCAGGAAAAGATGTCAATTATGGGTCAACAAAAGAAAGCTGTTCAGAAGGAATAAAACGCCTGTATGAGGATTTGGGATATGCAAATGATAGACTCTGGCACCCTTTAGTTGGTTGCAATAAATACTAATATTTTACTGTATCTTTTGTACATACAGAAATATTTTAAGTTCAGAGCCTATGGAAATAGTGCACTAAACTTTAAACCTATTTTAAACAGGGTATTTTCTGCTCATGTTCATTCTATCCTATTATCTCCTCTTCTGAAATACATCTGTGGGTTTCTCAGCCAACTTAAGTTTTTGAACTATATCAGTTATAATAACTTATTGGTGAACTCTGCAGCTTGTCTTTTATTTAATAGCAGTACTTTGCCAAAGCTAATTACCCATGTGTCTGAAGAATTCCTTCCCCTTGGTAATCCGGATGTACACTGTGGATCTGTTTGGGATATGTGAATAAATGTTTACAGTGTTCCTGACAACCATCTCTTGGTTTAAGTGTCTGTTTGTGCCAGATGTGATTGATTGATTGATTGATGTTACAACATACGCAACAGGACAGGGTGATGCTTACCATTCTGAACTTGTTTCTGATCTTTCTCCATTGGCAAGTGTGTAGTTACCCCAATAACAATTACTGTAGCTCAACTTCTTCCGCTAAATCAGTGAAGCCTTAATTTAGCCAAGGCATGCTTTGAAATGCTACCAATGAGACAAGGAGCCCTTTTAATGTTGATTCCATTTTCTTAACTAAGTTACACAGAACTGCAGAATTCTACCACAGTTTTTGTATGTGCAAGCCTGGATAGAAGCCGTCAAAACAAAAATTCGCAATGGTTCATTAGTTTGTCTCAAAAGATCAATGATAAATGGCTTCCTCAGATGGACAAGGTTCCTGCTCTAAAGCCAAAGGAAAATCTGATGTCCATCTGAGACTATGAGGCAGCAAACAAATCTGCCTCATCAGATAATCTGGGCTGTACTGCAACTAGACAAGGGGGCATCAGCTAGTTCAGAGAATTTGCTTTAGCAGAGTTTCCTCTGTAGGGGCACCATAGCCACATGCCCACTTGCAAGGAGCTCATCTGCCTCTCCCATTATAGGCCCACTTTCTGCCACTCCTTCCTCTTCTGATGCTGCTGTAGGAAGCTTGAGCATTCTTTCCTTCTACTCTGACTCCCACAGTGATGGAAGACCAATAGTGGGTAGTCTAATGGAAATGGTTGAAAAGTTCCCTCAAGAAGAAAGGAAAGGAAGGAAGAAAATAAATCTGTGGGGATCTGAATATACTTTTAGCTGCCAACTTGTATTCCTCCAGTTTTCTATGGCCCAACCTATTTCTTCTCTGCACCATAACTTTTTGAAAGAAAGAAAGAAGCTTCACAAAAGGATGGGATTGTGCATTCTTCCTTCCCCCCCCTTCACAAGGCTGATGATAGTAATTTTGCATTTTCAAATACTAAGAGTAGTATTACACAAGTGTTCTTATTCACCAGTGTTATTCTTCTATCTTCATCTATAATGCAAGTTGAAATCTGTTAACTACTCACATGTTCATTTTAATATATGTGTTCTGTGATAAATGGATGCAAAAACGGGATTATGTGTCTGAAATGGAGCACCCGGCTGCAGAGCCAAGGGCTGGGAGTTCAATTCCCAATGGAATTTCCAGCGTTATAATACTTTGGATGTGATATTGAAAACATACGAATGTCTTCTTGATTGGAAATAAAATTCATCTATAGTCGGTTTCTTAAAAATGTATAAATAAATATGCGGATAAATATATCACGAACAGATCAACTAAGAACCATAATAGCTTCTGCATTTTTTAAAGGATGATACTTAATGTTCAACCAAAAAAAAGTGACAAACAAATGCAGTTGAAGGCAAAATTCTCTTATTTCTTAGTATTCAGGTTGCAGTCTCTTAGTTAATAAATGGTGATCATTTCTTTAAAAACATACACGTAATCACAGACATTTATCTGACATCTTTCAAATATAATTGGCTAACTTGCAATGCAGTCCTATACATATCTGCCCAGGAATAAATCCCACTGAGTGTTGAGAACTTGAAGGTATTCATAGGATTGCAGTCATAGAGATATCAGCCGTTATCCAAATGTTCAGTTGAGGGGAAATTTCAGTGGGCTTGAGGCCCAAATCCATTCTCTCCCTCCCCCCGCTTTACCGCAGGATGCACTTAGCTTGGAAATTGCCAGAATGACCATTTTATAAAGTGAAAGTGTCTAGAGGGCACAGTTTTTATTTTGGGGAAGTTTTTTCATGTTCCCTAAACTGAAAATGGTCAGCTTGTAGAGCAGAACTAGCCTGTTCCCCCACAGATTTTGGAATCTCTTTAAATAGGGGCTTTTCATATAGAATTGGGGGTTCCAAAAAAAGGCCCCAGGCCATCATCTTGTTCGTCTCTGTTTTAGATAATCTCAAAAAAGGCAGAAAAAACATGGGTGAGAAATGCCAAACATTTTTTTCATTTTTGAGCTGTATAAACTTTACAGAATTGTCACTGGATATACAGTATAGTACTCTGAATTACCATGGAAATTATGGAAACATTTTTTAAAAGATGTATCCGGATAATCCCACTAGATACGAGTAAAATTATTTTGTGCCTTGCGTCTCCAACAGGTACTTTTGTTATCTGATTATATTTCACTCTGTCAATGATTCATACACTTGCTGGTACAGTAATTCCTCATTCTTCATGTTAAAGCACAGGGGGGAAATATTTGCAAGGATCCATCTGGTTTGTGCTACAATAAAGAGTACTATGAGATTTGGGAAGTATGAGATTGACACAGCATTTTTATGTAGTAACATGTCAGTTAACTGACTAGTAAAATATTTTCACCGGCCCACCTCTTATTTGCTGTTTAATATTAACAGACATTCCAAGAATAACTCAGTGGGCTGCCTTCTTAATCTGGCTGTGGAGCCAGAGGTTGGGAGTTTGATTCCACACTGTGCCTCCTTGACGGGGGCTGAACTCTATGATCCATAGGGGTCCCTTCCAGCTGTGCAATTCTAAAGTGAGTAGTAGTAGTAGTAATAGTAGTAAGGGCTCGATTTCTTCATATCTCCGGTCTCTTTGTATACCTGAAGAAGTCAGAATTAAATCTATCAGTTTAACAGAATTTTGCCCATCACTTAAACTAACATACACCTAAGCCAACAAACACAAAAAGGAGCAAGGAGACCTAGTGGTTGTTGTGGGTTTTTCGGGCTCTTTGGCCATGTTCTATAGGTTGTTCTTCCTAAAGAACAGTCTAGTCTCTGTGGCCAGCATCTTCAGAGGAATAGCACTCTGTGAGGAGACCTAGCTTTTAGATCTTCACCCAGCATAACTTTCTTAAACTGAGATTGTGAGGGTATAATGCAAGATAATACAGGGTAGGCTGCATATGTCATCCTGAGCTATTTGCTTCAAATTAAGGGAGGTTTTACAAATTTACTAAAGTTAACTGGAACAGTGTGGCATGCCACTCACATGAAGAACTGTGTACAGTATTAAGCATTTTAATTCTTTGTGTGCACCACTAATTATTCCATAATAAAAGGTATTCAACGCAACACTGTAGTCCTAAATGCTGTGTTAAAATGGATTAATCAGCTTCTATCTGATGATTGCAAGGGGTACTTAATTTCTTTCAAGGAAGATTTATGCAAAAGGTTCTGCTTGATTTTTGATCAGGAATATAATTTAAATTCGGAGGCCAAGAAGAACAGTATAATATCAATGTGTTTCACTTTTTATTGTCAAAGTCTAAAATGTGCATCTTATTTTGTCGCTCTTGATCTATACAGTGGTGCCTCGCTTAACGATGTTAATTCGTTCCAAAAAAATGGCTGCTAAGCGATTTCATCGCTAACCGAAACGCAGTTTCCCATTGAAATGCATTGAAAACCGGATAATCCGTTCCAATAGGAACGAATTGCCGTCCTTAAGC